CAAGTATGGATCACGTGACACTCGAAATCCGGATCTTTGGTCATGGAGTCCTACACTCTAACATTGCGCCACGGGCTCGTTGTCCTGTCGGTTGCATTTGGAAATATTAATTATGATCAATGACGACTAATAAGCCAGAAATGACCATTCCGGTTTCCCTTGTCATTGTAGGTACCATCTCACATATATATGTGCAGAACGGTATTAATGACAACGACAAGGGAGTCTGGAATGGTCACTTCTGGCTTATTAGCCGTCGTCAGTCAGTAATACCCAACCCTGAAGTGTGGAACACATGGGGCTCGATCCCGGAACCTGTTAGGTAGAAGTTTAACGCATCTAACCACTGAGTCATTGCCTCGATTTCTTGTCGGTTACGATATATATATATATATCAAGCGAATAATTTCAGAAATTATTCAGCGCAGGACATGAAGTAAAGTCTTCGTGGGATGACCGACACGGAATTTCAATGAACATTTGTGTCGAAGACAAGCATCTTCTGTAGAATAACCACGCAATGTCCATTTTACAAACAAGTAGTACTACGAGTAGCAAGACGGAAGACGCGGAAAACTGTCGAATTTGGGTAGTATAATTTCTAGGTTCTAGTATGCATCTGATATGTTCATCCAAGAAAGGTCGAGAATTTGTAGAGACCACACATTCCCACAGCTCGTGCATCGACCGGCATATCGAATTAGAGGGGTGCACAACAAGGTAAAATAAAAATGGAAGAGACGATGACCAAACACAGCGGCATTCCAACTCATAGTAAAGGCTGACTGGTAGGAACAACAGAGCAATATCTATTTTTAGGCACGTTTATATTTTGGGAGTTGTGCGTATTCGCTTCAAGTCTGGAGACGCACTGCGGTGACAGAATCGAAAATTCACTAAATAAACTTTGTTTGAGCCCCAAGGCACAACGGAACAAACATGTTCCGTAACCTGATCGGCGAGCGCCCAATGTCATAATTGATATTCCCGACCACAACCGACAGGACAACGGGCCCGTGGCTCAATGGTAGAGCGTCAAACTCCATGACCAAAGATCCCGGGTTCGAATCTCAAGTGATCCACACTTGGGGTTGGGTATGACTGGCTGATGACGGCTTATAAGCCAGAAATGGCCATTCCGGTCTCCCTTGTCTTTGTCGGTATCATCTCATCTGTGTCTACTACTAGTCGCTGTGCGACTGCCGGCGAGGGCTCTAGTATGAGCCCCAAGGCACAACGGAACGAGTGAGTTCCGTATGTACGATCGGTGAGCGCCCCCTAACAACATATATATATATGTGTGCGGACTCTTTACAAGAGGGCGGAAACTCACTGCAGCGAGGCAGCCGACAAAGTAGCCGAACTCCATTATCTTCGGCGGATGTTCATCTCCAACGGTTATCCTCGCAGTTTCATCGAACGCAGCAGGCAACCAAAGAAGGCTATAAGGCCAACGAGAGAACAACCCAAAGTGTGGCGGGCGCTACCGTATATTGAGAATGTATCCGAAGCAGTCGCTCGTCTCTTACAACCACTGGGGATCGGCGTCGCCCACAGGCCTGAAGCGACAATAAGACGTCTCGTCATGAGGCCCAAGGCCCCTCTGTCACGAGGCGAAACAGCGAATGTCGTCTACCGTGTCCAGTGTAGTTCCTGTGAGGCGAACTACGTTGGAGAGACCGGAAAACGTCTACAAACCCGCATGAGTGAACACGCAAGGGCAGTGAGAAGGATGGACCAACTCTCACTGGTGGCGGAACATTGTGCTGCCTCTGGACACACTTTCGCCTTCGAGAACGCCGAAATCCTAGGCCGAGGTACCGACCAGACAGCCAGGGAAACGCTCGAAGCCTGGCACACCGTACCAACTTCCATCAACCGCTGCACGATTCTCCCGGCGGCTTACCAGGCCCTACGAGTGCGATTCAACCAACGGAATCAAAGGCAGGAAGTCAGGACCACAAGCCCAAGTGAACACTGTTCGCGCCCAAACACCGATGACGGGGGTCAGCAAGCCGATAAAGGAGACGCAGGCAACGGGTCAGCAACCACCGAGGTGCACAAGGGCCGAGGCAAACGGGCGACAATTACGAGAAATGCGGGTCAGGCACAACAAATGCGGGTAATGCAGACGAGGTCAATGACCGTTGCCATCCCGACTCAGCCCACCCGACTAGGAGACGAGGAAGGGACCGGCCAGCACGACAGCAATTAACTCCTCCCCCCGCAGCAGATCCTGCACGAATAGCAGTAAGAACGACAACACTCCCGCATGCTCAGCACCCATAAATACTGTGAGGCGCCGTACAGAACCCACCTCCGACGATGGAAGCTTGTTTGCTTTTGAAACGTCAGGCTATTAAACCTATGGTTCCCGAGATCGCCTCTTCTTCTCATTTATCCCCGGGGACGCGCATTTTCGCTTTAATTGGCAATATATATATATATATATCAACATGAGTGAAGATTCGAGGTCCAGATAGATTATCCCGTTCATCATCCCCAAAAGAAGACGAAGAAGAAAAAGAGGCGATGCCATGGACCACACTGTATTGGTGCTGACGTTTCGGAATCTTTCTCGATTCCATCATCAGAGTAGTGGTAGGGTGTTTGTTCCTGCTAGCTCAGAGTTGTTCTGTCTCCCCGCCTGTCTCGTGTTATAGGCATGCCTGATACGCGAACTCTGACCTGCTTGCTGGCGGGCGGGCGATTGGCTTAGGTCTCTCCGTGGCCGTCCGCTGGGGCGCTGGTGTGACCTCTGCCCCCTGCCCGGCCGCTGTTGTCGCTGCTAGGTCCGCGTGCCCTTGGGCCCTCCCCCCATAATTTGACGGGCCGATCGGCTGCCGTTGCATGTGGGAATCGTGGTCGGCTATTTGGGCGCGTCGGTGGGTCGATGTCTCGCGTCGGTCGTCTGACAGCCGGCTGGCTCTCACCCCCTGCTGGGAAGGTGACAACTGTTGAGAGGGCCGCGATTTGTTCGCCAGTGTTGTCGGCCCCGTCCGAACTGACTGGAGCCTCGTACGAAGCGCCTGGTAGGTCGGATGAAGATCAATGGCTCTGTTGATTGTGTCCACTGAGGACCAACTTTCGAGAACCAGTCTGGCCATCTTGTCGCTGGCTCGGTCGATGACGCTTGCCTCCCCAAAGGCGAAACTGTGCTTCTCCTGTTGTATGTGGCCATATACCAGTGACAGCTTATCCTCGCGGTTGACTGCAAGCTGGTGCTCGTGCAATCTTGTGCAGAGGCGTTTGCCCGTTTCACCAAAATACCTTGCACTGCAATCTTGGCAAGGTATGCTGTAGACCACTGCTGATTGTTCCGTTGCAGGTAGCTGGTCAGAGTTTGCGTATCAGGCATGCCTATAACACGAGACAGGCGGGGAGACAGAACAACTCTGAGCTAGCAGGAACAAACACCCTACCACTACTCTGATGATGGAATCGAGAAAGATTCCGAAACGTCAGCACCAATACAGTGTGGTCCATGGCATCGCCTCTTTTTCTTCTTCGTCTTCTTTTGGGGATGATAAACAGGATAATCTATCTGGACCTCGAATCTTCACTCATGTTGATATATATATATATATATATATGTTGTTAGGGGGCGCTCACCGATCGTACATACGGAACTCACTCGTTCCGTTGTGCCTTAAGGGCTCTCTCTCGAGCCCAACCAGCCGCCGCACAGCGGCGCATGATATATAGGCAGAATGGTATTACCGACAAAGACAAGGGTTTTCCACACTTCGGGCTTGGGTATGGCTGGCTGACTACGGCTAATAAGCCAGAAATGGCCATTCCAGTCTCCCTTGTCTTTGTCGGTAATACCATTCTGCCTATATATCATGCGCCGCTGTGCGGCTGCTGGTTGGGCTCGAGAGAGAGCCCTTAAGGCACAACGGAACGAATGAGTTCCGTATGAACGATCGGTGAGCGCCCCCTAACATTGTATTTTCCCCATCGAAAACCGACAAGGCAACGGGCTCGTGGCCCGGTGAGTAGAGGCGTTGACTTCTAAACCAACAAGTCGCGAGTTCGAGGCTCGGGTGTTCCACACTTCGGGCTTGGGTATGGCTGGCTGACGTGGGCTAATAAGCCAGAAATGGCCATTCCAGTCTCCCTTGTCTTTGTCGGTAATACCGTTCTGCCTATATATATATATATATATGAAAAATAGAAGAGGTTCTTCGGAAAAGTCGAGTTTTACTCGTAAATTTTCGAGCTGGTGACACCAACCCGTCGTCAGACGTAATGAAAAGCGAGGGAGAAAGTTATGCTCCCACAGTAGACCAGTTAGTGTGATAGGACAGAACAGACCACTGACGTGTGAGGGGGGGGGTGGGGTGGGCTCCCGAGGTCATGGTAGGTCACTGATTGAGGGGAGGGGAAGGGAGAGGAGGCGGAACAATTACGGCGCACCGTGCTGGAGGGGGAGGGCGGGTGGTGAATCAGTTGGAATGCGGGCGGCTGTATTCGCGGTCGTTGATGCGTGATTAAGGCAGGGGGCAGTCATTCGTGAACGTAGACCCTCGTAATGAGCATCTAAATCAACGTGGCGGTTGATACTACCCGCATCGGAGTACCAAGCCTCGAGAAATTTCCTCGCTCGCTTTGTGTTAGCCATGGCGACGACCTCAGTGCCATCCCAATTGAATCGGTGGTCGCACTCGAGTGCATGGGCAAAGACGAGGGACAGGGGATCTCGCTGACGGATAGCTAGTTTGTGTTCGTTGATACATATATCTATATATACATGAGTGAAGATTCGAGGTCCAGATAGATCATCCTGTTCATCATCATCAAAAGAAGACGAAGAAGGAAAAGGGGCGATACTATGAACCACACTGCTGACGTTTCGGAAACTTCCTTGTTTCCATCATCATAGTGATGGTAGGTTGTTTCTTCCTGCTGGCCCAGAGTTGTTCTGTCTCACCGCCTGTCTCGTGTAATAGGCATGCCTGATACACGAACTTTGCCCTGTTTGCTGGCAGGGAATCGACTTAGGTCTCTCCGTTGCCGACCGCTGGGGCGCTGGTGTGGCCTCTGCCCCCTGTCCGGCCGCCGTTGTCGCTGCTAGGTCCGTGTGCATGCGGACCCTCCTCCCATAATCTGACGAGCTGATCAACTGTTGTTGCACGTGGGAATCGCGGTTGGCTGTTTGGGCGCGTCGGTGGGTCGATGTCTCGCGTCGGTAGACTGACGGCCGGCTGGCTCTTTTTCCCTGCCGTGAGGGTGACAACTGTTGAGAGAACCGCGATTTGTTTGCCAGTGCTGTCGGCCCCGTCCGAACTGACTGGAGCCTCGTACGAAGAACCTGGTAGGCCAGATAAAGATCAATGGTTCGGTTGATTGTGTCAACTGAGAACAAACTTTCGAGAACCAGTCAGGCCATCTTGTCGCTGGCTCGGTCGATGACGCTTGCCTCCCCAAAGGCGAAACTGTGCTTCTCCTGTTGTATGTGGCCATTTGCCAGTGGCAGCTTATCCTCGTGGTTGACTGCAAGCTGATGCTCCTGCAATCTTGTGCAGAGGCGTTTGCCCGTTTCATCAACATACCTCGTACTGCAATCTTGGCACAGTATGCTGTAGACCGCTTCTGATTGTTCCGTTGCAGGTAGCTGGTCTTTGGGCCTCATTATCTGGTGCCTGATGGTGGATTCCGGTTTATGGGCCACCCAATCCCAAAAGGGCTCAGGATTCTTGCTGTCGCCTCAGAAACATTTCTTATATAGGGGACTGCGAGCCAGAACTTCGGCTTCGCAGCGTGAGATCGTTCGCGGTTAAGTCCTCTTCAGCATTCTCGTATGAGGGATCGTGGGTAACCATTGTCTGTGGATAGGGAATGTAAGTATTTCGTTTCCTTTCTTCTCCCGTCGTTGTCATTTCAGTGTGTTTGAACTCGTTGGAAAAGAGCTCTGACACAACTGCGTTTGTGACCGATGGGGTGGTTACTCCGGAATTGGAGGATGCGTCTAGTATTCGTTGCCTTTCGGTATACCGTAGTTCTGGTCCCCCCATTAGCCATCCTTGTGATGTTTACGTCAAGGAAGGGCAACTGGTTGTTGTCCTCCTCCTCCATTGTGAATTGGATGTCGGGGAATATTGAGTTCAACAAGACTTTGAAGTCCTGGACGTCGTGCCTCTTGATTACGACAAATGTGTCGTCGACGTATCTGGCCCAGAATTTTGGGGAGTACGAACGGAAGACCAGTTGCTCGAGCCTCAGCAGAACAGCCTTGGCAATCAATAGAGACAGCGAAGAGCCCATGGACGTTCCCTTCTTTTGCTCGTAAACCCAGTTGTTGAAAGTGAAGAAAGTTCTGAGGCACAATTCCGGGCGTTCGATGATGTGCGTTCGTCTAAGCCGTTGATCAGTTTCATCGTACTTCTCCTGAAGAAGCTTGTAAATGGTGCTAATGGCAAGGTCGGTGGGAATGGAGGTGAATAATGAGACCACACCAAACGATACCATCATCTCGTCTGGCTCTATTTCTAGATGTCTGATACTCCTCAAAAACTGCTCAGCCGATTTCACCGTCCATTCGGAATCCTCGGTCAGGAAACGGAATCGTTGGTAAAGCTATTTCCACAGTCCAAAAGTCGGGGTGCCGCGTAATGAGACTTTGGGGCGTAGAGGTACTTCCGGTTTACGCACTTTTGGTAGACCGTAGAAGCGCGCCATGGCGGCATCGGTGGTTTTGCGGTCAGCGCTTCCTGCCTCTTGAGGGCTTCTGCCTTCCTTAACTTGTCAATCGCCTTGTTTACACTGTTAACGTGCTTCTTGAACTCTCCAGTCTCCGAAAGCTTGTAGGCAACTTTCAACAGACTTTCCAGTTTCGCCGTGAATTCGGCCTTGTCTATGACAACCGTCGAGTGTCCCTTGTCGGCGTGCATGGTTATGATGTCCCTCATCTTCCGCATTCTCAGGCATCTTCATGGCATGCCTATTACACGAGACAGGCGGTGAGACAGAACAACTCTGGGCCAGCAGGAAGAAACAACCTACCATCACTATGATGATGGAAACAAGGAAGTTTCCGAAACGTCAGCACCAATACAGAGTGGTTCATAGTATCGCCGGTTTTCCTTCTTCGTATTGTTCTGATGATGATGATGATGAGGATGATGATGATGATGATGATGATGATGATGATGATGATGAACGGGATAATCTATCTAGACCTCGAATCTTCACTCATGTATATATATATATCAGCGAGGAGGGACGACAGAGAATGCGGGTAGATTGATATAGCACTGTTTCGGGCTTATTCTGCTATTGCTATTCCCGATCACAAGCGATAGGACAACGGGCCCGTGGCTCAATGGTAGAGCGTCAAACTCCATGACCAAAGCCGCCGGGTTCGAATCTCAAGTGATCCACACTTGGGGTTGGGGATGACTGGCTGATGACGGCTAATAAGCCAGAAATTGCCATTCCGGCGTCTTCCTTACGCGCAGCACTATCCCGGGCAAAGGATCCCATACCCAAAGAGCAACAAAGTAACGACATTTACCGCATCCCGTGCGCTAACTGCCGTTGCGTTTATATTGGGCACACGGGTCGACAACTTGGCACTCGCATTAATGAACACAAGTTAGCTATCCGCCGACGCGACCCCTTATCTCTCGTGTTTGCCCACGCTCTTGACTGTGACCATCGTTTCAATTGGGACGGTGCCGAAGTGGTCGCCATGGTCAACACTAAACATGCACGGGAATTCCTCGAAGCTTGGCACTCCGGTGCAGATAGCATTAACCGCCATGTTGACCTTGATGTCCATTACGAAGGTCACCGATCACAGTGGACTGACTGGCGCCCACCTTAAGAAAAACAACAGCTAATGCGTGCCCGGACATGCATGATCTCGCCGACACGCCATTCCTACCACCCTGCCCTACTCCCCCTCCCTCCCCCAACACGATGAGCCACGGCGTGGACCCACAACACATATCCTCACCTCCAGCACCCATCACAAAACAATGCACACCTCCCCCTCACAAGGTCGTCTGCTTAGCTCTCTGTCTGCGTCCTCAACCAGCAGTGTGACAATGCCACCTCTCACTTTTCACTTTGTCTGACGAGGGGTTGGTGCAACCAGCTCGAAAATTTACGAGTAAAACTCTATTTCCGACGGACTTCCTTCTTTCATCATATCATCTCGGAATGCATACTACTTCAGTTATTCATATATATATATATATATATATATATATCAGGAATGGGCGCACACCGATCTATTGGATTCACAAAGCAAACAAGCTCCGTATGTGTGGTAAAGGTCACGAACAGGCAACCAATTACCAGGCCGAAGTCGGCCAAGTCATAATAGCAGCG